CGATAAATTGTGCTTCGTTATTGATTCAGAATTTTAATTATGGCATATGTTACATTTTTTTATGGGCGATGTTAAGTCTGTTTGAGTCATAAAGTAAAAGGTTTAGTATAAGCGCAGGAACTTAAGCTTCTTTATTAAAAGATGTAAAGTTAGTTATGACACTTGTTTGCGAGCTTGTCATTCTATTCTTGATCTAAACAAATAAGGTATTGTAAGTCACGAACTAAGCGAATTGAGAGTTTCTGTAGGAACTAGATACATTCTAGTCCATTATATTACCGACATAGTCCGGTTTATATCAAGTTCAAAATTGACCATTTATTTCTTAATAATGCACATAGATGTCTTGAGATAAAATAACGCGCAGGGCGCATTATTTCATGCGGTATGTTGTGTAATGAGATGCCTTTCAAATATTCGTTCATTATCGGAATAATTGGTATGTTCAATTGAAATTGGACATATTTTTATAGACAACTGCACGACATTATTATGCAAACCAGGAACAGATGAATATAGCTAATCGTAATGACAGGTTTAGAAATGAGTGCTGCCAAGAAAAGCCATGTAAGTATAAATTAAACTTCTATCATATATGGACTTCTAAAATGTGATTTGGTGTGATTTTAAGCTGCAAAAATCATGCTAAGCCAATAATTGATTATAATCGACGAATACCTATTTCTTTAACAATAGTAGCTACAACTTTCTGGAAAATATAATCATTAAAAATATATAACTTTGAAAATAAGCACCACTCACTCACTATTTCAATCTCAGATTGACGGGAATAGCTTATATAAAATTTTTTATTCTCTACATTAGTCTGAAATTGAAAAAGCAGGATAAAGGGTGTGATTATAATTATCAATTTAAACAACACAAATATCTAAATGATGATAAATTATAATTATACTACCTATTAAAATAACAAATAAATTAAATGGTTTATAGGCTACTAATTCGGTGCAAAAAATTCCGGCCATTTTTCAAGACTAAGTCGGAAATAGTCGGTGATCACAAGACCGCGACATTTTTTCGCCATGACTAACCTACCTCAATATAATTCACTTTATCTATTTAATCATAAATTCATATGTATAAGTTCTAAGTTTACCCTCTAATACACTTATTTTCATTTATCCATACTTAGATTTTTACATAATTATTATTGCTCGATCAAAGACACTTTATCGAATTACATTATATAGGAAACGCATATAGAAAAAGTCTCAGTGGTTATATGACAAACTAATATGCAGCATTTATATACTAATACTCTAGGCTTTGATATTTCTCCTTGTCTAACCGTTGCTAGAATATTAATAGCAGTGAAGAGTATCAGTACGTCAAATTAAATACAATTTTTTTTTTAGTGATAACATCTTTTACTCGTATTTTTTTCAACATTTCCAGCATAAATTCTAAACGGTCAAGTGGTTATAGAGCTACTTAGTCTTCTAGATCTATGCTATTGCTCTTGTAGTCAAATAATCGATTTCATAATAATGCTAGTTCATTACTCCATTGACGAGTTTATTATCTGTCACACAGTTTTAGTCTACATTGCACATGCACAATAAACGTACAGCCATATATATGTACATACTAAACTGTGCTTACCGAACATTATATTGATCTTCATTTATACGTATATTATATATTACAATAACTTTATGTATATGCATTAAAAATATTACAATTCACTACCTTGCATGTATATTAACCTTATGCACAAAATAGCTTTGTTTTTTTTCTTATTATAGATCACTAATTAATGTCTAACCAATATCCTACGTAACAAAACAATACGTAGGGGGGTTTCAAAGTTAACAATAAGTGTCGCATTTTAAAATTAAATGAGAGTTTGAAAAACCTTATTTGTATTTCAAATTTCAAAAAAATCAGCAAACGAAATAGGAGTGCCCATTCACCGAAATAATGAACTTTACAACTACAAAGGATCATTTTAAATTTATGAAAAAAGAAATAGAGCTAACACATCGCCATTTGATAAAAATATGTCATTAATTTCAATTAAATTTAGATTTCCACATTTTAACCCTAATGAATACATATCATATTTTTATATATTACCTTAGCTTAATGCTTAATGCTTAATTTTTACAAATGCGCCATAATAATACTTTTTATATGTAAGAACTGAATTTAATTAGATTAATAGAATTAGAACTTCATTTATATAGACCAATATACATCATATCCATAAATTCTTACGAAATTAAAATCAACTTAATTCCGTTTTCACTAACAACATTGGCAATAGAATGTAACTGAATAACTTGAATATTATTACACCTGTGTATTAAAATCGCTTTTAATAAGGTTTATATGTATTTTCAAATATGAGCCTTAAATTTCAGCATCACTCTGTATTATCAGCGACTCCATGGTTAATAATTGTTATTATGCATAACGATAGTGATAGTTGAGGTGGCGTAATTTATTTAGACACGCTGTGCCTGAAACCTAGAGCCGCATTTAGCTGAAATTGACAATCTTAATAATTTTAGGAAAAAGGTGTACATATGTACCTGAAGTTGCAGATATTTGCTGCATCAACAATAGGTAAATTAACCATATGAATTACTCAAATAGGTATCTGTGTACTAAACAGAATATGCTTTAATTAACAATAATTCAATTCTTGTATGCTTTTTTGTGTTTTTAAGGTCCAAGTAAGCCTTACAAAATAAAACAAATAACGAATTACCAAAATTGGATTACTAGATGATAGAAAATTAATACGTACTGTATTTTGTTTCGGAATTTTACACAGTTTTAGGTCATAAAGAATTACTAACAAATTAATTATCGGTTACACATTCTTGCAGGCAAATTTACTTGTAAACTACTACAAATATCAATAATCGAACTATATTAAATTGCAGTTTACATTATCTCAGCATATTTCAAAATCTAAGTCGTTGGTGGGACAGTATAACTGCATTTACAAACAATCATCGTAGCACACAATGATGATGAACCTAGATAAATTGTAGTGTCTTGTTTTTTCTCATTTCATTTTTGCAATCTTGACTACAAATTAAACATGATTAATTACAATCTTTTATTCATTCTTTTCTCCTCTTATTATTATGTGACTGCAGAAGCATATACCAGTATGAGCCATTTAATCATTGATATCTTCAACCTTGAATATATATAGATTACTACCAATATTGCATTATAATTTCTGACTGTCTAGTAATCCGATTTAAATAACAGTTTTTATTTTTCTTTATTCGAACCGTATTACTAGAAAAGAAAATTTTAGTAGAATCTGTATATAATTGTTCTTTGATGCAATGAAATCAAGTAGTCAATAATAATATTTTTTTTATTTAAATATAACTGTAGCAACAAAAACATCTCAAAGTTATCAGCCAACTCAGGCTTACAATCAGCCTAATAGCCCAACTCAATCTAGTTCTAATAGCGTTACTGATCTTGTATCTCAAGGTAATAATTATATTGCTATTGCACATTAGTAAGATAACATTGTAATTTTGATCGATTATCCAAATTTAATTATCTTTATATTTTTTATTTTATGATGCAGGCTATAGCACTTATAAAATCCTCCTATTTATCGCAGCACCTATAATACTTTTAGTAGGTGGCGGTATATTTTTTTGGTTTTATTTCAAAGGTAGAGGTAATGCTAAAGATAGAAAAGCTACTATGCCTGATGGTGTAGAAACAACTTTCACAATGAAGTAATGCTAAAAACAGACAAACTATGCCTGGAGCATAGTGACAATTATTCAAATGTAACATTACCACACATTCACAATATATTTAGTAATCATACTTCCTTTTCATCGTCCTTTATATTCTGCATTTACAAAAATTCTTCTTTATTATATTTAAACCGATGAATACTATTGTATATTATATTATTTATTATTTGCAAGTTATAACTTCTTTTATTTAATATTTAATTATAATGTTATGATAGAAAACTGCCATTTAAATCTAAAATCAAGGATATGGTGATTATTTGATTTAGTGTAAAATTAGCACTAAATCATACGATCCCTTATGCGTCAAAGTGTAAAATAAATATCATTTTTAAATTTAAAAATGCATTGAATTTCAGAAAAATTGCAAATAATTACTTATTTCGTTTTTACTTATACTTTTTAATGAAAGAACGCTAATATAGGAAATTCTATTTTGACCCGGATCAAAAAGACCCAAAAGGTGCATTTTCATACGAATTGTTACTGAATCTATAATTGTTTGTGTTATGTAATATGAAAATTTGATTATTATTCTTTTTTTTAGATTTAGTTTTATAAGACGGTTTAGTATGAATTTAAAAATCGCCTTTTCATTGGACCAGTATACCTATAAACGAATTGAACTAAACTTTAGATTAAGTTCAGTTAAATTATTAAACAAAACTTGAACAGAACTTATTTTAAAAATAACGCTTAAATTCAGGATTGATATCAAATTTTTAGAACTAGTTCAAGTTCAGGTTCATGAGTATGTTCAGGTTTTAATAAATTAAAATATATACTGTCACTGTATTAGCGCCATGACAGATATTACATAATATCTATTTACTATGAGACATTTTAAATCGAACCCAGTTTATCCCTAGCTTTATTTATGAATTTATTCTATATTTAGAATTTAATAAAAAATTTTAAAATCTAAGAATTTTGTCTATAAAACATCGACATTTTTCTGTTAATTATAAAAATAAAGCTGAAGTAGGTAAAATAAAAAAAATTTAATAAAAGTAATAAAAGACGCTAATTTATATAAAAAAAAAAAAAATTTAACAGAAATTATTAAATTAATGCAAAGTATATTTATAACACTATGTTATATAATACCCTATTATTAAATTATATATTTATCCCAACATATAACTCCGACCAATACAGACATTAATACAGGTGTTATATAACCAGTGTTATGAATATAATTTTTGTAAAAATTATTTAAACATTTGTTATCAATTATTATTGTGGAGGGACCCAAGTTCGTAAGTGTACAAATTCACGAGCACATTTAAAATCATCATCACAATTCCAATATATTGAAGCCCAAACATCAGCCCACACGCCAATAGGTGTTTCATCAATAGGATAAGGCCAAAAGAATGTATATTGCGGATCATAAAGATACTGAGGGTCATTTACAATATGATATTTGTGCCCATTGTCATCACTAAAGGAAACTTCACCTATGTATTTTGGGTCACCTCCAGGAGTAGTAATCGTCATCTTGAGGTATCCCCCAATTGCCCCCCAAGGTTGCCATTCATTCTTGGACAGTATTGTCCAACTAACATCTGTAATTTTAGCACCACAAGCTATGAAAAAAATGTTAATTTAATTTAATTTTAATTTTTTTTTACGCAAGATTTGTGAATAATGATACTGTAGATAAAGAATTGTTTGAAATCAACATACTAGATCTTCTCCCATCCCCACAACCATCATCTATAGGATTAGGAGGTTTTGCAATCCCGATAGCAGGCTTATGTTCTCTCTTAGTTAGTAGTTTATCAGAGTGGGCAGCTGTAATTTTAGTATCACAAAATATGAAAAAAAGTGTGTTAATTTTTGGTTTAATTAATTTTTTTTTTTATACCCAAGATTTGTGAATGATGAAATAAGGAATTATTTGAAAATTAATATACCAAATCTTTTAGAACGAGACCCGTGAGTTTTTTCAACATTAATAAGGAAAAAAAGCACAAGTAAAGTAAATGAAATAATAAAATATTTCTGATTCATGTTGAATTGTGATTATTATAGTAGTATTTAAAATTTTAAGTGTCGTCCGTATACTTATTATGAGTTAAAATTGTATAATTACGATTATTAAAATTATAATCAACTTTTTAAGCGCTGTCTATGTGCCTATTTATATTTTTTTTTTGCTAAAGATCTTTTCTTGTTTTATCGCAGTTTGTAAAATGGAGTGTTTTTTGAAATATATAAATATAGAAAGTCATAAATTATAAATAATAATTTACTTTCATTGAATTTTTTAACCAAGTAAAGCGATTTTTAACTAAGAAAGACGATTTAGAACTAAGAAAAGCCGATTTAGAACTAAGAAAAGCCATTTCTAACTAAGAAACTAATTTTACTTGATCTACAAAATTAGACCAAAGATTCATCATTTTTTTTAACAAGTAGCAATAAAAAAAATCAATCGATGCTTATAAAAACCTATTTACGATTCTGACCAGTTTCGGTCTAAAACTTTTCTTTTAATTAGAAATACTTTATTCCTGCCTAATTTGATTGGATATAAAATATTGCCTATGATCCGGTAGATCTTAAATTACACTACTATTGCTATCATTTGAAGGTCAAAAAAGGCATCTTTTTGATTATCAGCTATGATCCGGGAGAACACTAATGATTGAACAGGAGAAACCGTCAATGTTACACATTAATCATTCACACGATGTAGTTAGTCAATAATAAAATTATTTATTTTGAGTTTACTCTAAAATGTATGTTATTGATATAATCCCTCATCCCGTAGTTCGCACGGGTAGAGTTGTTAATGGGTTGGATTAAGCAATTTCTCAACCCACTCCAGCTTGGGTTGGGCTCACTCCGGAGCCACTCCAGGCTTACTTAATGCTGCTCCCAGTTTACTTCAGTTTCACTCCAGATTTTTAGGCATATCTTTAACCCACTCCAACTTGGGTTGGGTTCACTCTGGAGTGGCTATAGAGCATGCCACTCCGTTAACAACCCTACGCACGAGGTGATCAGTTAAACTGAAATTATTTATATGTAACTTCAAGTGTAATGGACCCTCATTTTAGAGCTGCACAGGGAAAACCTTTTAAGTAAAATTTTATTCGTTGATCACTATGCCGATCTTAATGATTTGACACTGGGGCGTGACCAATCATTATTTATGACAAATAATCATTTCTTATATAGTTTAAGTAATAAATATTTATTTGTCATACCTTATTATTGGTCACGCTCCAGTGCCAAATTATTAAGATCGGCATAGTGATTAACGAATAAAATTTTACTTACAGGTTTTCCCTGTGCAGCTCTCATATACCAGTATGATCCATTTATTCGTTGTTATCCGAATTTAATTATCTCTATATTTTGTATTTTATGACGCATGCTATAGCAATTATAAAACCCTCATATTTATCGCAGCACCTATAATACTTTTAGTAGGTATAGGTATATATTTTTGGTTTTATTTCAAAGGTAGAGGTAATGCTAAAGATAGAAAAGCTACTATGCCTGAGGGTGTAGAAACAACTTTCACAATGTAGTAATGCTAAATACAGACAAACGATGTTTGAAGCTTTAGTGACAATTATTCAAATGTAACATTACCACACATTCACAATATACTCAGTAATCATACTTCCTTTTCATCATCCTTTATATTCTTCTTAATACGATGAATACTATTTATTATATATTATATTATTTATTATTAGCAAGTTATAACTTCTTTTATATAGTATTTAATTATAATGTTATGATAGAAAACTGTCATTTAAATCTAAATCAAGGACATAGTGATTATTTGATTTAGTGTAAAATTTGCACTAAATCATACGATCCCTTATGCGTCAAAGTGTAAAATAAATATCATTTTTAAATTTAAAAATGCATTGAATTTCAGAAAAATTGCAAATAATTACTTATTTCGTTTTACGTATACTTTTAATGAAAGAACACTAATATAGGAAATCCTATTTTGATCCGGGTCAAAAAGACCCAACAGGGTTATTTTCATACGAATTGTTACTGAATCAATAATTTTTTGTGTTATGTAATAAGAAAATTTTGGTTATTTTTCTTTTTTTAGATTTAGTTTTATAAGACGGTTTAGTATGAATTTAAAAATCGCTTCTTCATTGAACCAGTGTTCCTATAAACTGAACCAAACCAAACTTTAGATTAAGTTCAGTTAAATTATTAAATAAAACTTGAACAGAACTTATTTTAAAAATAACGTTTAAATTCAGGATTGATATCAAATTTTTAGAACTAGTTCAAGTTCAGTTCAGATTCATGAGTATGTTCAGGTTTAATAAATTAAAATATATACTGTCACTGTATTAGCGCCATGACAGATATTACATAATATCTATTTACTATGAGACATTTTAAATCGAACCCAGTTTATCCCTAGCTTTATTTATGAATTTATTCTATATTTAGAATTTAATAAAAAATTTTAAAATCTAAGAATTTTGTCTATAAAACATCGACATTTTTCTGTTAATTATAAAAATAAAGCTGAAGTAGGTAAAATAAAAAAAAATTAATAAAAGTAATAAAAGACGCTAATTTATATAAATATATATATATATATATATATAACAGAAATTATTAAATTAATGCAAAGTATATTTATAACACCATGTTATATGACACCCTATTATTAAACTATATATTTATAATTTTTGCAAAAATTATTTAAACATTTGTTATCAATTATTATTGTGGAGGGACCCAAGTTCGTAAATGTACAAATTCATGAGCACATTTAAGACCATCATCACAATTCCAATATATTGAAGCCCAAACATCAGCCCACACGCCAATAGGTGTTTCATCAATAGGATAAGGCCAAAAGAATGTATATTGCGGATCAAAAAGATACTGAAGGTCATTTACAATATGATATTTGTGACCATTGTCATCACTAAAGGAAACTTCACCTATATATTTTGGGTCACCTCCAGGAGTAGTAATCGTCATCTTGAGGTATCCCCCAATTGCCCCCCAAGGTTGCCGTTCATTCTTGGACAGTATTGTCCAACTAACATCTGTAATTTTAGCACCACAGGCTATGAAAAAAAATGTTAATTTAATTTAATTTTAATTTTTTTTTACACAAGATTTGTGAATAATGAAACTGTAGATAAAGAATTGTTTGAAAATCAACATACCAGATCTTCTCCCATCCCCACAACCATCATCTCTAGGATTAGGAACTGCTAATCCAAACCCGGTAGCAGGCTTATGTTCTCTTTTAGTCAGTAGTTTATCAGACTGGGCAGCTGTAATTTTAGTATCACAAAATATGAAAAAAAGTGTGTTAATTTTTGGTTTAATTAATTTTTTTTTTATACCCAAGATTTGTGAATGATGAAATAAAGAATTATTTGAAAATTAATATACCAGATCTTTTAGAACGAGACCCGTGAGTTTTTTCAACATTAATAAGGAAAAAAAGCACAAGTAAAGTAAATGAAATAATAAAATATTTCTGATTCATGTTGAATTGTGATTATTATAGTAGTATTTAAAATTTTAAGTGTCGTCCGTATACTTATTATGAGTTAAAATTGTATAATTACGATTATTAAAATTATAATCAACTTTTTAAGCGCTGTCTATGTGCTTATTTATATATTTTTTTTTTTACTAAAGATCTTTTCTTGTTTTATTGCAGTTTGTAAAATGAAGTGTTTTTTGAAATATATGAATATAGAAAGTCATAAATTATAAATAATAATTTACTTTTATTGAATTTTTTAACCAAGTAAAGCGATTTTTAACTAAGAAAGACGATTTCTAACTAAGAAAAAGCCATTTCTAAGAAAAGTAATTTTACTTGATTTACAAAATTAGACCAAAGGTTCATCATTTTTTTTACAAGTAGCAATAAAAAAATCAATCAATGCTTATAAAAACCTATTTACGATTCTGACCAGTTTCGGTCTGAAACTTTTCTTTTAATTAGAAATATTTTATTCTTGCCTAATTTGATTGGATATAAAATATTGGCTATGATCCGATAGATCTTAAATTACACTACTATTGCTATCATTTGAAGGTCAAAAAAGGCATCTTTTTTGATTATCAGCTATGATCCGAGAAACCGTCAATGTTACACATTAATCCTTCACACGATGTAGTTAACAATAATAAAATTATTTATTTTGAGTTTACTCTAAAATGTATGTTATTGATATAATCCCTCATCCTGTAGTTCGCACGGGTAGAGTTGTTAATGGGTTGGGTTGGGTTGGGTTAAGCAATTTCTCAACCCACTCCAGCTTGGGTTGGGCTCACTCCAGTCCACTCCAGGCATACTTAGTGCTGCTCCCAGTTTACTTCAGTTTCACTCCAGATTTTTAGGCATATCTTCAACTTGGGTTGACCAATTATTATGTACATATG